AAAACTGCGGGGAACTATGCAACAAACGCATCTTCGCACGGGCAGCCCGTGCGTTGGCCAATTATTTTCTAATAAATTCAAAAATTTTTTGACAGCATCTGACTGAGATTTCCGACTATGAACGAAATAAATTCAGGATTTTCCGTTCCAGTATTTATTAATCAGTTTCAGGACACCGCTAGAAGCTGTGCCTACTATGCCGCTCACAAGAGAGCTTCTGCAGCAACATACTCGTAAGTGGGAGCAGGAGTATCGCGATACGTGGAAGAAACGACTGGGACTCAAGAGGCCAACTCAGGTAGTATAGCACGTCCACTGTAGCAACTTTCAAAGTCAAACTTCTGATTTCGTTGGTTGCTCTGAAATAAATCATGTAATATACAGAGAATTTCGAAATTATTTCAGCAAACTGAATTTACTGTGCCGGTATCCTCGAAGATTTTTCGCGACAACAGCGGCTGCTCCAAACCGACGGTGACCCAAAGCGCCCCGGCTTGTCTTTCCTCTACTCGTACCGATCACTGGCCAACAGTTAATAGAGGCGAATATTATCGTAGCCTTGGACCAAATCCGCCACCGCCACCAGGCAGAAATTTTCAGGTAATGACGGCGAAAATCATTCATTTTGAGCAGTTTGTTAAAACTTCAAAAATTCTTCAATAAGGAGCGTAACCATTAGAGCCAATCAAACAGCGTGAAAATGGTGTCGCCGGATGCGCGTCATTGATTAGTGATAATACTGAGCAAGGCATAACTTTTACCAATGATTTATTTGGTACTTAGTCGAAATTAAATATCCATTAACTCCAGATCACATCTGTGCCGCTGCCGCCACCGCTACCGATCGAGGATCGCCGATCCGCGTTTGTCTCACTTCCGATCACTGCCACTACCAAATTATTCCGGGATGCTTCTCAACCGATCAATTTGTCAGTGACAGAACAGCTACAAGCACGTGGGGTACCAGAGCCAACATCAATAGCAACAGGTACCGAGGGGCAGCCTGTGTTCCAGCCGCCACCACAACAGCACCGTTCTGTAATCAGAACAGCCCTCATGTCCAGCACCCAGAAGCAGCAACAACAACAGTATTGTGGTCCAGATGCAGCAAAACTACCGCCACCAGCAACACCTGTAGCACACCGTCAAATGCCGACCACGACCTTGGACATGGTATTCGATTGGGGTCAAACCCTGGAATACAGCAATGGTGCTGCTACTACAGAACCACGTGAAACGTGTGCGGCACGCTTAATCAACATGGCACAACGGGCACAACAACAGCAACAACAACTGGGCCAGAAGCAACAACAACAGCAAGTTCACTTGCCGCTCGCTAACTCACCGGTCAAGGAAGCCACCGATGCGCTGATGTTACTCCAGGAAACAACAACATTTTGACAGCTTAGTGAAGAATGTTGAAATACTTTTTCCGTCTATGCTTGACACTGTTGAAACGAGCACTGTTACTGAAATCACTAGGAATATTGATATGAAGTGCTAGGATAAGAACTAAGGGATCAATTTAAATATCATCTATAAAAATGCATTCTGGGATGCGACGGTCTGTGTTTCATCCTTTAGTTGTAAACATAGGCTAAACGGAGCATGCGGGTAGGAGTGGGAATCATCAATACAGCCTTCCAACCGCCAAGTATGCGATGAGCAAGTGTTGAAACGCATAAAATCAGAGTAATGAGAAAACAAAAGTGTTGACAAGAAGGCGATATGAAGACAGATAATACAAAGTCGAATTCGGTAATCCTTCCACTTTTTCGTAAAAAACACACACAAAAAAAAAGCCGAATGTAGCGAAACTTCAATTGAAAGACCCACTCAAAAGTTCGAAGTCAGGAACTAGATGTATTCTGTTTGTCGAAGCTTAGGCACTGAACTTTGTTGTTATGTTAGCTTGTTAATTTGTTTTTTTTTTTGCACTTTTTTCTTTTTAAATTTGGGCTGAAGCGCGCGAGCCCAAAATCCAAGTTTACTAACTGATCTTGCCACATGGAGTATGTAGGCAACGGTTTCGATATATTTTGTAATTGAGAATTTTAGTACCAAAAAAACATTTTGAAAAAAAAGCATCCACAAATTTGGAATCTGAAAAATCTCAAGAAAGAAGTAGGGAAGCGAAGCTAAATTCTTAAATAAATCGAAAAAATAAAGCCATTGGGAAAACAAAGCCAAATTTCTTTATTGTTCAGATCACAAATAAAATTCTGGCATAAAAATCTCGCGAAAGCTCAAAAGCAACATCAGGCCTTTCGCTGCCTGTAATAATTAGACTGACATAAAAACCGACTGCTTCAGGACTCCCGCATCTTCTAGCTGTAAAAAGCTATTCTGTATGAAACCTGATTTTTGAATTAATGTAATAAAAAGCGCGCATTTCTCACACCGATGTCTTTCTTGTGCTGGAACGAGCATATTTTTTGTTAAGCCATTTTCGTAACTTTGTGCTTCTAGGCGTCGTTCCAGCTTCTTTCGCTATCTTTTTCCTTTTTGCTCCTCAGCAAACTTTCGTTATTTGTGTGTACGGATGAATCGTGATAGTGCTCTTTAGAAAAGTTCAAAAACAGTGCAAAAATTAATAGTTCTTCAACTATGGTTGTTTAAAAGAGAGTATGAACCCAAAAACGAGAAAAGGACGAAGCTCCAGCTTTGCCCATTTTTCAGTTCCAGGCCTTAAGCAAAGAATGGGATGCAAGAAGAGCTTTTTGAATTTTTCTATTTTCATTTTTCTTCTTTTCTAGACAACTTTTGTGACCAAATAGTATTACAGCAGTAATGCATTTTTTCCTCTTTGGTTCTTCTTTTTCCATAGAATTTTTAATAACAGTTAAGTTGTCCATTTAGAAGGTACCAAGAAAAGTTATAAGAAATATGTAAGTTATTCTACGGAAACTCTCAAAGTTTTCCGGGGTCTGTATTAACTGTAGTCGGCGACGGCGCTTGTGGTACCTGGTCCTTATGTCTGATTTTGTTGATTATTGCGTCTCGCTTTCCTCAGTACAGTTTACTGTGATGTTTGTCTTACCTTTTCACGCATAACCTCATTCGAATTAATTGTTATTAATGAAATATCGCTTGTCTAAAACCATTCACAGCATATCTTATTATAATACAGTATCATTTGCCACTCTCACTGCCACTGTTCTTTCAGTTCAATTATTTCTACACTTTAATTTGTTCGATTTGTCTATTGTTTGAAAAATTATGAACGAAGAACTTTTGTCGTTAAAAATTGTTCTATTCAGAAACAAACATACCCACATACACACAAACACTTGCACAAAAAGGGATACAGACACATTAGCACTTGTCGTAAACAGTGCATGTCCTGACTACGTTACAAAAGAGGTAATTTCTGAGTCGGGATTCAAGAGGGTTACTTCGAGGATTGCTGATGAGGTGGTTCGAGGGTACTGGTTTGAAAGTTCCGGAGAAGGATGACGGGGTAAAGAAAGGGCGGTTTGAGAACTGGCTGGGGTTTTGTAAGAGTAGTTTGGCAGCTGGAGTAAATAGAACAGGGAGAAGAAAGGGGATGGGAAAGCGATGAAAAGTGAGCATTGTCAAACAATGTCAAAGATTTCAAAAGTAAGGACCCGTCTCTAAATTCTTTGATTTGAGCAAAATTCAGAGGGTTTTCGCAAAAATAACTTTGCTATAAGCTATTACGAAAACAGTTCAGTGGTGTTGTTTGGATGAGAGAAGCCCAAAATAGGTAATGAAAATGTAAGCTACACCAGTGGCGGGAAAAGCCCAATGATGAAAAAGCAGCTGATTATCAAACCAAGAATCAATTTTATAGCTTGTTTCAAAGTTCCTTTTTGCCACTATGCAGTGGAATCATTGTGCTGCAATACTTTCTGGCAAAATAAAAACTGCTGGCTACTACGTTCATTTTGTAGGCCATTGACTAATGGTCGGTGCTCTAGAAAGCAATTTTACGAGAAAAGTCAATGGCTTTGCGTGAGAAGCAACAAAAAAAGCATCAGTAATCCATTTTCGTCTTTCTTTTCTTTCCGGTATGACATGCTGCTTTCATGTAATCCCCAATTTTCGATAGTGCAGCCAAAAAGGATCCAAAAATTCTTTCCACCAAATGGGAGTAAAGAAATGAAATGAACTGGGCAGGACCAGTTTTACGAGCCTGATTGAGTCTAGTCGCGACCACAAGCTTTTGCAAAAAAAACTTTTGAACACCAGGGCAATTCTTCGTTCTATTAGTGTCACTCTTCTCCATTTTTTCGCATCTCTTGTTTGTGTGGCCTGGACTGCTAGATCCAAAATTTGAGGCAAACAGACTGGCTCTCCCCAGCACATTGTCTCTTTTATCATTGCTCAAATCTATTGGACTTTTCCAAAAAACTTTTTTTTTCCGCTCTTTGCAGAATGCTAGACCAATATGTAAGCTTTTACTTGCGTATTTGTCCGTGAAATGTTATAGACGCATCAGAATGTGATTGAGAAATGACAGTTTTTCGCCCCGAGGATTAATTAGGCTCGCCGACTTGATCTTTTAAGTTACTCCTGAAAGCTGCCTTCCGAAATTCTGTGCTTTTGAGTAGCCTGCACAAAACTTCATCATTATTTTTATCAGAAAAGAGGGAGAGTGAATAAGTAGCTTAAGATGAGTAGTTTTTTTTGTAAATTTCAAACATTTTTAACATTTTTTGAAAATCGGGTTTTTTTAGATGCTTTTTTCTGTAATTACTGATTTTCGTGTATTTTCTGCAAATTATTGATTGGAAAATTTTTTTTAGAAAATTGCGCGAAATTAAAACTCTTTTTGAAGACTACTGAAACTTCCTGCCGCAAGTTCGTAAAATTGATTAGCATAACTTTTTAGAGATATGCTTCATAATAAAACTGAGGCGGTAACAGTTTGCATAATCATGCCAGATAAGCTCGCAAAAATTTTCTGTCAGTGATTATCAAAATTTGTAGTTTGATAACGCCATCTGGTTGTTCTTCGTTGATAGCCGGAGAATTGACTCGGCTGACCACATCTTTTTAGCTCACTGGTACTCATCCGTAGTATGACTAGCGCCTTGGTACGATGCTAATGATTCTCGCAATCTACACCGGAAGGGGTTCTCCAAAGTGCTCAAAGTATGATGAGCGGTGCTTTGTTTGCGAACCCGGACAAATGCTGTACGGCCTTCAGCCTGTGTTCTGAGCACTGAGTTGACAATTCCCAACGGCATTACTTCAGCTTCCCTTTTTATGCATTTTTGCGGACACAACAGAAAATGCTTTAGCGCTGCGAGCATGTGCCGCATTATCCATTTCTGAAATAGTACTGCTAGCAGTAAGAAATTTATCATCTCTATTCTGAAATTCCAGTGAACTCATAACCAGTTTTGCTTTTTCTGTCGTATACTTTAAGGTGCCATCTTAGCACTTTGTTCATCGCTAGTCTAATTTCATAATTCTAAAAAAAGCAGGCTTAAAAATTGAAAAATTCAGTTTCCAAATTTCAGTTTCTTGCTTAATTCTGCAGCAGACTGACCAGTGCAATCACAAAAATACATATACATACGCATACGCACAGAGGCATAACTTCGCCTTAATGCGATTCATTTGCATAAATATGTAAATGTAAAAAGAGCACGAGAATGATGTAAAATCAGAGCGGCTACTAGTGGAAGCAGTGAGTGTCTGTTGTCCTTCGGCGCAGTTGAGATGTGAGTTTTTAAGAAATGTTGAACACTGTTTAAAGTGCTGGGAGAGTCCCGATGACGGTGGAGGATGAGGAGGCATGCCGAGTACGCTGAGTCAGCTGTTCGCTTGCTCCGTAGCACACTTCGTCGCTATCGATGCGCGCCATATTTTCAGTGTTTTCCGTCAAATCATTTATTTCAGCGTATCCGGGTTGAAAACCCCCAGAAGTAATGTTACTGGCTCTCTTCCTGCCCGCTTCATCCATCGCCCCCAGTAGTGTGTTTCATTCTTTTGCGAGCGACATCTGAGCGTCGGATCAGAAAGCAATTGGGTGGTTGGTTGGGTTTGTGTCAGTCGAATGATAAATGGAAAAATACAGTTTTTACAGTAATCTTCAACTAATGCGCTGATTGTTCTCTCGGAAATCTGTGTTTCCTCTTCATTCCTTTATGAGGCAGCGCAGCACTCGACTGTAGTCTCTGCAACAATTTTTAGTTTCTGCGAGGGTGAACTGTTTGCATCTCAACCACAGTAAGACATGAGAAGCTCACCATCAAAACTTGCTCTGATATATGACTGATCCTTTTCCGGCTCTCAGTCAAGGACCAAGACGTGCACACTGACCATTCCAACCATCATTACTGTTGTAGAGAAATTTTCCAAACTGATTCCTCTCGATTAGTGAGAAGAGGGTCCATTTTAGCTGCCATCTCTCGGCAAACGTAGTGTCT